ATCATCTTCCATCATGTCGGCCCAGGACTTGCGCTCTGGCTTGGCTGCCTGGCCCAGAACATATCATCCTTTCTCTTGGCCCCCAGAAGCTTGGAACTCTGCTACTACCAAATACTGTCGTTGTCAATACATGAGGAACTCTTTGAAACATCCTTGCAACCCGAGTGGTGTTTGCCGTCCACCACGCATCAAATTCTGGTGTGCACAAGCATCCAACACCAAACTAGGTCGCGCACCGAGTCTTGCAGGAAGAAACTGCGCAGGAACCGAGTCAACACCAAAAAAACAAAACACAAGACCCCCTCCTTACTGCCTTTGGCGAAAGGTCGCTATCGGTCCTGGGCGAACTGATATGGCGACATGGTTGTATGTTTCAAAACCTGAAGTAAGTTGAATCCACCAATAAGGGACCTCCATGTTTGAATGTTCGGTCAAGTTAGTAGGTGGTTGGCCACTCACACTACAACCCCCTAACAAGGTTGACCACTGAATGGGGGCCTTTCTTGCTTGGCAGCGAACCCCAAGCGCGAAAGCCCGCTATACCCCAAGGTAAGCTCTTTGTTCAGCGCGCATGGGAGGGCCTTGGCTTCCTGCTCCACTTGCAGTTCCTTGAGAGGCTCCGGCAGCACTTCCTCGCGAGGCTCCTACAGTGTTGGCCCCGGTACCCAAATGCAAAGATATGTCGCCCCCTGTCGGGGATTTGGGGAGGGGGTCTCAAAATTGTGGATCGCTTTGTGGGTTTAAAAGGAAAACCCTTCGGAAACAACACATGTGGTCGACTTGCCCTCTCACTTGCAGCCTTGGTCATTCATGGATTCACGGCAAGCAAACAGAAACTGGACCGTTGGGCGAGCTGCAACCAACCAGCAAAACTGAGAAATTATCCCACACATGTCTTTTACCTTGTTCATGTCCTTATCTCAGTCTCCACTCCATCCATCCCACAACTCCTTTGCAGGATCGCGACACCCCACCCAGGAGCCACTTCCTTGAACAAGCCAAGGACAGCTGCCGGGATCAACAGGTGGGTGTGGTGTCTCTTGTTGTTGGTTTAAACAGGAAACCGAGATGAACTACACATAAGAGCGGTGACGAAAATAGAGCACACAAAACCCTCTACTAACAAACCGCCTTCGCGGAACCTTTCGCGATTTCAGTTTCGCGGGCATGTGTTTTATAACGATCACTTTCGCGGAGCTTTTGCGGGCAACACAGAAACTGCAAACATGTTCTGTCGCGACGAATTCGCAGCGGGCTCTTCTTCAACCACTTTTCGCCGCAAGCTTTCGCGGGCTTTCGCGCCCTGCGTTTTAGCTTTCGCGAGGCTTTGTTAGGAGAGGCCCTCAATTCACTCCGTGCATACGGGTTTTCGGCGCTGCCCATTTTGGGAGCGCCCCTATTTTGAGACACCCAAGGCGCCGTCTTCAAAACGATTTTCGGACGGAGTCCTTGGGCAGGTCCTTGAGCACGGTGGTCACCTTTCCAGTTGCCTGTCGCGTCGTGCATTAAAGGGCGGGAAACAAATATGGTTGTCTCGTGAGGGAACCCTCCTTCAAAACCACCTGAAAAAGGCACCCGCAATGTTGGCTCACCTAAGTGGGGCCAAAGGAATGGAGCAGAGGAAGAAGGCGGCAGGAAGATGCGGTGGCTTGCTGGGGGCGAGGGAATGTGCCATGCTTTTTCACAACGGGATGCCTAGAAGGCCCTGTTGGTTCTGCATTGGTGTGACAGAGATCCAGGGGCTGAATCAAGGTTTGGGTCGAAGGACGGAATTGTGGGCACCATCCGGGCCGTGAACTCACATGACTACGAGTAGTTGAACTTTCTTGGCCACACATGCAATCCCCGCAATGTGGGGAGGGGAGCCTGTGTCGGCATGAATCGTTGATGGTAGCCTGTTTGATTCCAGGGTTGAAGACTCGCGCGAAAAAGGAGCAAACCATGTCCCCTCCTCACGTGGGGGGTTATTTCTTTAGAAACAAAAAAGAATGGAACCGACATGTTAGTGCCGTGCTTTGTAAAATACACCAGGGTGGAAGCAGGTGGCACAATTCCTTTCTTGTGGGCAAGACAAGAGGATGGCTAAACCAAAGAGAGGGAATTGCACCATCTACTTTCCCCCAACTATACTGGGTTGCTCTTCCTCCCGGAGAAAAAGGTACACCTTTTTGTGGGTTTACTAAACATTCAAAAAGAACACTTTGGGATTTCCGGAAAAGGTCTAAGGTCACCAAAGACCCTGTGGCGCCCCCCTGGCCTTGCGGCGCCTTGCCGCGGCCACGAAGCGGGCGCCGGGCCCGGCCAGCGAGATGAGCTCCTGTGCGCGTTGGGTTGGTCTGATAAGGGGACTCGAATTTACGGGAAACCAACAAGCCAACCACATATGGCTGTGGTTGTCAAAAAAATGGTAACCCCAAAATGGCTTGCCCTGGTTAATGGAATGGACTAAAACCGCGGTCCCCTAGTGGTTTAATTTTGACCCACACCCTTTAGGGGGGCACTTTTGAGACACACCCACACAAAGTCTTGAAACAAAGGACCTCGCACACCGACTAACATGACTATGGACTTTTCTGACAAACTGTCTCCAGCTACAATCGTTGGCATCGGTGTTCATGTTAATGAGGCCAAGGCGATTAGCTTGACAACAGCGGCAAAGCTGGCCCATGCCAAACACGTCGGAGACAGCTCATAGCAACGCCGCAAAAATAATCAGCAAGCGTCGCATGCGCGCCCCTTCACGCACCCTCTCAAATTAGCTGTGCGCACCCTACGTGTTCGGTCGTTGGCACGGAGTTGTTGCTGACTTAATCGCTATTTCGTGTGCGTTCCATCTGGGAGTATCTTGCCAGCCCAGCTGGCAGGTGCAAAAGCTGTTGAATTGGCTGATGATCCTTGCGATGGCCTCTCCTCGTCATCGCTCGGCAGTCCAAAGTCATCCAAGTCCGCAAAAGGCCTTGCGAGGCCGCGGCATGGCGAGGTCAGGAGACCGCGTCAACAAGTCGGGAGGTCAACCGACTTACGCGCCTAAGCTCAATCCCGGCGTGGCTTTTCACTAGAGTTTGGGTGACCAATTTGTTGAATGGGTTCTAACATGAGTTTGCTGACAAACGCGTGAGTATTCGTTCGCGTCCGTTCGCGGATGACAAGAGCTTCCAGGGCAAAACGCACATTGGAAGCCAACCCTCGCAAGATTCCTGTGAGGTCGCTATCGAGTCCATCCGAGCAATTCAGACTGGCTGGTGACTGTGAACAGCTGTTGGATTGATTTCCTACGGGAAAACCGCAAAGCGATGTGAAAACATGGGCTTGCCAAGCTGAAGAGATTTTGCTGCCCATTCCGCGCCTGGCGAATGCCTTGCGTTCACCAGCCTCAACCATCTCCTTCACAACCTCAGCCAGCAATAGCACCAGAACATCCAGCCGGCTTGAATTGCAACATATGATTGGACCTGCAGGTCAAAGGAAAATGCCTTCTCGTGTCTTCATACTGAGGATCATCCCCACACCTACTGCGGATGGACGAAATCCTGCACCAGTCGGTTTCTTTCGTTTGTTTATCCCATCATTTATAGGGATTCATCCCTCCCAGCTGCAGGACAGTGCGTCGCCCTTCGCTTGCAACTCAAATTTGGCCATTCTCTTGGTAAGCTCAAGCCAAAGGTTCCCCGAGAAGCAACACCAAATCCACCGGGAAAGCTGTGCTCGCCGCCTGAAACTCCAACATCCGACCGGAAAGACATGGAGCCCCAGGCCCAGAAAGGAACCGTCGCAACTGAGAGCTGATCTTGCGCATCATGTGGGCGTTGCGTGCACTGGCTGAGAACTTAAGGGTCCAGAAAAATTGCCCCCTTAGCATCCTCACCATTACCGGCCAGCATCGACAGCTCGGAAAAATCAGACCCCTGAACATCCTCAGCTTCACAGGGCAACATCGCCAGCATTCTCTGCAATTTGCTGGATCCAAAAATCGGACTGGTGACTAGTCAGCATAGCTGGCAGTCATTGGGCTCTGAGAGTTCATGCGGGGCGGGCCTGTGACATCTGGCTCAGTATATCTGCAAGTTCGGCAATGAGTTCAATCACCGAACCATAGCGTGCGTGACCGAGGCTTCAAAGAAGGTGCAATCCAGGTTCGCCTCTGAAGAATTGACTTCCGGCAAGCATCTGATTTCTTGTTCCTGACAAAACCTCAGTCGTTGCCCCTGCGCTCCTCTGAATCTATCTCCGAATGGCTGCGGCATGAACCCCTTGATCAAAGGCGCCTCCGCACGCGTCAGCAATGCCAATAAGGCCAACCTTTTTGGGGTGACGCTAAAAGGTGGACCAAAAAAGGTCCAAAGATTCGCTCACGAGTGAGTCTGTCTTACGGAGGTTTTCCCATGATGTGCTAAGGGGAACTTAGGAGCGCTTTCTATGGGCAGTTGGGATTTGTGGGTTATCCCATGTTCTGTGTTTTGTCCATCCCAACTGCAGGAGTCTGTTGGCTCCTGCTTTCTATGTGGTTCTTGGAATGTTCAGGGAGCGATAGCGGACCTCCAAACCTCCGAGGCCCTGGCGTGACCACAAAGGGTCTAGAGATGAGCGTTCGAGCCAATGCAGAAACGCTGCCAAAGACCCTCAGCATTGCCTGAACTGTTTGCGAAAGCCACGATGGTTCTACTTGAATAGTACCGAATATGCAGAAAGGCATGCCTTCTTAATGACCACAGTGCGTGCCGTCCCTGCGCGACGCTCATAAATTGGTTGCAACTTCAACCCTGCAAATTGATATGCCACAAAAAGGAGGCCGCCCAAAAGGAAACTCCTCAACTGACGGTTCCAGGGGAGTAGCGCTGTCAAGTCCCTGAAGTGCCGACTCTGAGTTCAGCCCAGCACGCGCACAGGGCTCCTTCATTGATACATCCAAAGAAGCCACCTGCTTTACAGGGGGATCCTCAAAAATGAGCTGGATAAGGTAGCTGGCTCAAATGTATCCTTTGAGCGTTGCGGATTGTCCACAGGTTTCGGGTTAACTTCGGTTCGGGCAAAAGAGGATGTTTCGCGAACACATTTCTGCCTTGGGCACAATGTCTCAAGTCAAACCGACGGTACAATCGCCACACAAGGGTTCACCCGTCGAGGCTTTTAGCCCGCCCACTTCAACCAACCCAGCAAGCAATCTGAGCTGCCTGAATTTGAATAGACCCTGGATTCGTGTCCACCTTTTATGATTCCAACGCCCAAAATCATGGCCAATTGCAAGAAAGCAAGTCTTATGAAATAAGCTACTCTGCCTTGTGAAATGTTGGCAGCTTTGCAAGAGAGCTGGTGGCAAGTGGCACAATGCGATCTTTGTACCGCATTCTCAACTCTCTATTAGTCTACTAGCTTCGTTTGCTTCAATCTTCAAACAACTGAAGCTTAGCCTACTGGGGGGCATATTAGTCTTAGCGTCTTATTTGCTCCTTTGTGTGGCCGTGAAGCCCAGCCATTTTGGTTTGGCTGAAATTGAAAATTTAAAGTGAACAGCCAATGCTAGCGGAACACGCTGTACAGTATAGGAAATCATAGATTCTGGCAGGCTTGTTGGGCTCTGGCAGGTTGCCCCCTGGATGCGAAAGCTCTGTATGTCTGAACAAAGAATAAAGAGTCAATAGGGATTCTGTCATCGCGCAAAGGTGCTAGAAAGTCTCTGGTTCCACTTGAGGTTGTTGCTGCCTGCAATGCAGCATTGCCAAATTAGCCTTCTTGGGCATGCCTTGAGAATTACTACCCAAGTGCCGAATGCTTCACATAGGGGTATTTGCTCCAGCCAGCCGCACGGAATGGAAGACCACATGCTTTAAAACAGCATCACAGAATATCACTTTGTGACATTTAGTGTTTTTTGCCATCCCTTGACAGTTGTCGTACACCCGTTGCAAGCCTCCCAAGGAAGCAGCTCTGCTGTGAGTTTTCCGTTCGTAAAACCCAAGTTGCTGCCAACCCAAGCGGACGGATGCAAGCCAAGCAACTCGTGGCCCTGGATGTCCGACCCATTGGACAACGCCAAACAAGTGGACCCAGAAACATCAACGTGAATTCCAAAGCAGATCAAGTCTCCAAGATGGTGGTTCAAGTATGCAATGGGCAATGGTTGGTTCCATCACTGTTTCAATTGGGTAACCTAGGGGCATCTCAGATGACACATGAGTGTCAGACTATTGGCATGTGACCTGTGTAGAAGCTTCTGTCGACATCGAAAAACGGAAGGCATCGATGCCAAAGGCAAGAATAATAAGTTTCACCAAGGCAGAATCCAAAGCAGCGCGTCGCCATTGTCAATGCAACCGGAAACCCGCGTCGGCCAAAGACGCACCCCCATCAATATTTTCCACACCCCCACGAAGCAACCCTCCCCCGCGATGAGTTTCATTTTGAAAAAGCACCCTCAAGTGTCCCTTTCAATCCCCAAACCTATTCAACCATCGAGGGGAGGGTTCAAGGCAGGCACCAGCCACACGGACCAGAAACTGCCGCGAAAAAATTGTGTCTGAGCATAATCGGGTCGCCCTGTACAGCGTCCGGCGCTCGAGTCCAGTAGGCCCAACAAGTCGAGCTGACTGGACCCTCCAATAAGTTGGCGAGGTGCGGCTCTCTCATGAGCGGCCGGGGAGGTACTCCCCGGGGCTAACATGAAACTGTCACAAACAGCATTTTTGAGTGAAAAAACACTTTTTGGTGGGACCCTGTTGTAGGGCCACCGCACGTAAGCGCCTGCCCTGCCCGCGTGATCAGCACGCGCGAACTCGGTGCCCAAAGCAGCCCTCGACAATTCAAATGGTTTGTCTTGCTGCGCTGCCTGATGGTAGACGGACAGTATTTCAACAATTGTCGCATCGTGACTGCATATGCATATATGGCCCCGCCGCCCTCCTACCGCCCCCGCCGGCTGCTGAAACTGAAAATGGCTTTCCGACCGCAGTACCGCGAATACATACACAGGATCTATTTCCGACAGATGTCCAGTTGCGTAATATATGGCAAGGCTTTGACAGATGTCCAACTGCGCAAAGGACTGGCAACTGAAAACTAAGGGAAAACCTATGAGAGCGCGCGCCGCAAGGGCGGTGAATGACAAACACTATCATCCAGACGCTTGCGCCAAGATGCTTGTACCACCCAGCATGATTGAATGCGCTGTGGTTCAAGCACACAGCAAACAGCAACAAAACCGAGAATTTCGAATCACAGCATCATGGATATTTATGGGAAATGTGCGTAGGATTATTTCATCATCCGGCGGCAAGGCCAAATGCGGTGACTACGCAGTGGAACGTAGATTGGGCTCTTCCGTAGCCAGGAGAATGATACCGTAGCCGTAAATGGGAACTTTACAGTCAGGCACTTTCTTGGATGGACGCAAAACACCTGCTGGCGAGAACATTCGTGTCACGAAAAGACCGTTGCAAGTATAAGCGCATGATGGATGCACCATCTGCAGACTTGGAAGGTCATTTGCGAGTGCGTTTCTCCTGGCTTTCCTGGGTCCTATGTCTCAGTTCTGGACTTGCTTGAATTTGCTCGCTGCGGTTGTTGACGACAACGCGGAATCTGCCAGTCTGTGTCCGTACTTCCGAGTAGCCATGTGTCACGACGGAATCAAGGCGGTCATAGTGAAGCCACTTCCGCAAGGCGTCCAACATGTTCACGAAAGTTCTCATAGTGTCATTGATACCGCAACTGAACGCCTGTCAAGATGCGATATATGATGCAGCTGCTCCTGAATAGAATGTTAAAGTAAGGTGGACATGCATCTGTGAGGACGCTGCCGACTTGTTAGGGCGTGTGGCCTTCGAGGCATCGATGTGTAGGATACGGGTCTTGACGCGCATGACGCTGAATGACCTGGCAAACTTCTTGCTCACATCGGCGGAATCAGGGGTGCTTCCTGGATATGTGGACCAAGAAGACATCGTCGTGAAGCTCAAGCTTTGATTCTGCTTCCTCAAGATCATGAAAAAACCCCAGTCATTACCCAGCATGAGTAGGAGGGTGTGGCCCTTCTTTGAACAAGTTCTACTAGTGTGGCGTTGTCCCCCTTTCCTACACGACTGTCCCTGTATACTCCTCTTGAATAAGACTTGCACTCACGAAAGGTTCCATGACTCCATCCGCTTCTTGTGCGAGGAGAGGGATTGAACTCCAACATGCCAAGAAGGGCAGAATTCTGTTTCTTGTCTGGCTAAGTTGCCCATATGGAGCGTGTCATGGTGGTCAGGCTTGCCTGGCGATCGGAGGATTTTTTGGAAACGCAGGCAAGTTTCTCAAGCTGCTTGCGGCCCGCTACCTGCCACAAGCTTCCCAAGCAATATTTGATATTGTTGCTCCCAAAAACTCCTCACGGGTAGAAGCGTCCCAGTGATGCCGCCCCACAATCTGGCTTGTCGATGTTGCCCACAACCTCTCGGCTCTCTGATTATCAGCTACCTTGCTCCAGCTGTGGCAGCGCTAGTCCATGTAGTCATTGACTTGAACAGTTGGGCTGACGGCTCCTGAAGCTTGTCTGCGGATTCGCGAAATTGTGACACAGGAGGAATGAGCTTGATCTCGCGCTGTGCAGGACTTTAGTTCTCGGGGAGTCTTAGCTCCTGGGGGAAACGGACGCTGATGGCCCTCGAACGGTTCAGCGTCAGGTTGCCTCCACGGACGATGGTCCTCACGTTGGCGCTTATTGAGTCAGTTGTTGCATGCCTTCTTGAGGACCTTCCAACACTGCATGTTATAGACCCCGAAAATCCTGAAAAGATACTGCTTCCGAGAATATTGGAGATCAAACAAACCACATGGGTGCGCATGGTGCATTCCCCAGTGTAGACAGGATGCCTGGTTCAGCCCGAAGCAGCTTCCAATCAACCGCCCTGAAGCGAATTGAATCCAACACCATACTGAAGTAGCATGGTGCCTGACACACAAATCTGGAGAGCTAAAAACCACCTTTGCATGTAAAAATCAGCATGAACAATGCGAGTAAAGTATTCAGAATTGGCACATGGGGGCAGGGGCAGCCTGTATAAATTAGATAACGCCGTTGATTGTGACCCCGGTGATGTTGCACCTTTGCAACCGAAGCCCTCTTGCAATAATCAAGGAAAGCTCTCAGGATGTTTACGTGTTTTACAGAAACAGCGGAAAATCTCAACCAACAGATATAGTGCTCTTTCCACCACCTTGACAGAGCAAAGCCGAAACCTGACTGGTCCTAAATGAAGAATGCCCCACAATCCGGAATCTAGCATCGAATCATCCTTGGTCAAGCCAACATTGAGCTGGTTTGCTTTTGTTAGGGTGCAATTTAAGGGTGTGCAAAACCACTGGAAGTGAAGTGCCTTAAGAAAAATGCTTAGGCTGCTTCATTCATTCGACTTCCGTCAAACCCATCGACACGTGCCTGTTTGGCTGGCACCGCATTCCGGCATGCTTCGAGCGGCTGCCCATCGGGGTTGTCAAGAAAATCGGCCCTTAGTGGTATAACCCATAAAAGGCGCAAGACAGGGCGGCGCCAGGTTCCAAAAGGGGGCATATTTTCGACAACACCCCATGTATGAGCGAGTACTTAAAGAGTTTGTGATTCTGCATCATGATCCATCTATTGCCAGGCAAGCACCATTGGACGCATCCGATGTACACCGGCTTGACATTCAAGGATGGTGGGGAACCGAGGCTAGTAACCAGGAAGGCTGCATGTGCTCAAAGCAAACACGCGCTTTTAACATTGAACCCCTCACACAGCATCAGCTTGAAAGGAAGGAGGATAACAGCCTGACCAAACAAGCCCCTACATCAACAACTCAAGCGCACTTACCAACTACAGTACGGGCAAGCAATCCTGCAGTCTTCTCCAAACGTATGCGGCCGATCAGTCCCACGATTGACGTTGACACCGTCGCAATGTAAAAAGCAAAATCGGGATTATTTTGACAACTGCAAAGGAACTGGCGGGAATAGGACCCAAATCCAAAGCAACTCCAACTTAGCACTTTTGCACTAAATTACCAAAACCTATGACTCGTTCCTCATGATGTTAATATCGTGGAGAACCATACCCGCCATTTTGAGCACCACAAGTCAGCAACTCGATCCACATTCCATGGTGCAAGCCCAGCCTGGCAAACGCAGTGAAGTCAGGAGTCGACTTAGCGAAAGCACCCGAGCCACTCAGGCAGTATCCATGTTGCACAGGTTGAAAGCGGATCGATTGCTCTGTTCCCACAGGCAGGTGAAATGCGCATTTGTTCAAGGGCAACACAAACACACCGCAACTCAGCTCAGCAGGGTACCGGCCACCAAAAAACCCTTGCATGCTGTTCATGTCGTTGGAGTTGGCACAAGCGGCGGAGAGTTGATGCAAGCAGCTCCGCAAAAGCGGCAAAGCACAAGCAGTTCTGCACAAGCAGTGTTGCACAGGAAGGCAATGCAACGCAAGCAAAGATGTGCAAGCACCCCGATCACAAAGTAGAGCAGTGTTCTGCAGCCATGGAAGTCGCTGCGCAAGCAGCGCAACGCAAGGCGAGCAACCCTAGCAAAGCAGTGCTGCGCAGCACAATGCCAGCAGCCCGCAGAACAAACAGCTTTGCAGAACAAACAGCTTTGCAGAACAAACAGCTTTGCAGTGCAGGCAAGCTGTGCGTTTTGAAAACCTTTGTGCTTTCAGGAAAAAGCTGACCTTTGAGGGCATGATGAAACCATTTGCCCTCGATCCCAAATTCAACATGTGCAGTCATTTCATTCAGAAGTCATCTGGATTCATCCTGAAGGCTGTGCCCTCACTGAACGGACACTGGGAACATTGGGCAGGCGCCAATGGGTTGGAGCTGCAACTCTGGTTCATTAACCGCGCCAAGGGGTGATATGTGGCAGATGGGTCTGTTCCATGGGTGGATTCTTTCGGACTCCGTGTAGCCTTAAGACATTCTGGTGGGATGGGCTTCAATCGATATAATATCTAATAGGGGTGTGTGTGCGTGTTTTGTTCAGGGTAATTACCCAGTTTGTTTTTTTGTTTGTTTGTTTTTTTTTTTGGGGGGGGGGGGGGTGAAGGGAAAAGAAAAACCCGCGATTTCGGCCTTATTTTGACGTATACCAATACTTAGGCACAGGGTGAGTATAGTGGCTTCGACCAACCAGCCCATCACGCAAGTTTTCATCTATGCAACTAATGACTATATGCCCTGTACAATACACTCAACACAGGGCTACATGATGCATGATTCTGAGCCTAAACAAGGAAGCCGGCGTCAGCGCGCCGCTGGGTGCTTCCGCAAGGCAGTCTTTCCCTGACAACTAAGCCTGCGAAAGCCTACTCCAAACGGCATGTCTGGCGAGAAACTGCGTCCTCCGAAAGGCTGCATTGCGCAACTTGCTTTGGCGTGGTTTCAGAACTCAGGGCCACAGCTGACGCACAAATGGCGGCCTGACATAAGACACCATCCCGGAGTTGCGCGACGCTGGTCCGCGATAGTTTGTTTCAACTGTCCGCTGATTGAGATGAAGTCGAGCTAATTCCGCCTGCTCAACAGAGCTCTTTGTTTTTGCGGCCGCTGCTGTTGACTTACGGTGCTTGCATGACGTCTTGTCAACTGCTCCTCGTACACCTCTAGCCATGAGTGTTGCAAGTCTCCTCCAATTGACAAATGTGATGTCGTACACACGGGCCCCATGTTGACTGCACGGTGCTTTGTAGTACTATGCAATGTCCCTGTGTGTTGTGCTTCCTTAAACAGCGTTTAGCTGGTCAACTTCAAGGCTATCAACCCGTCCTCCGTGATATGACACGAGTTCAGAACGCAAGACATAAAATCACGCCTTCTGACGCAATGCAATCCTGCTAGACTGCTTTTGCAGGTAAGGTAGGCCTAACTTCAAACAAGATTGGCACACCTCTAAGCATGCTTAAAGAATTAATCGTCGAAACCAGCCAGCAAGCAGCTTCCCCCGCTATGATTTGGCCTTTCAGCAGTTAGGTTGCAAGGTCACAGCCTTTGGTGCCACTGGAGAAAGCTCCAAGATCCCAACTGGACAGATGGACAAACAGTGCAGGGATGCTTCCTGATGCCACTCTTGCTTGGAGACATCCGCTGGCCAGAATCTGGAGTGTATACTACAGCGTAGCTTGAGGGGAAGCTGAGCTGCTGAAAACGGCCGGGCAGTTGCCGCCAAGCCGCCCATCGGCCGAGAGGTTACGGAGTCCCACTGAGCACTTAGCTGCAGTCCTGCTCCAACGGGGGGCGAACTGAATGCCCCTAGACCCCGCAGTTTGCCAGCTGTTAGTTGCCGGCAGACTGGGCGACCCCCCTCATGATCACCTCTTTTCGGCCTCTCTCTGACTCTTTAAAAGACAGCGTCAGTAACGGAAAATTGAAGAAATGTGGCGGCCGTACGCAGGATTCGGCAATCCATCAGGCCAAGATTCCACTCACACCTTTGGGGCCGTACCTTTGCACCTGTTCAGCCTGCGCAACACTCTTAATAAAGCTCAA